CCAGGAAGCAATCCCCGGCGCCAACAACGGCTCCGGCGACCAAACAGCTCCCTGAGAGGGAGATTTCAGCCAGGATGACAGGTGACTAGGGCGTATTCGAGAATAAAAAAAGCAGGGAGACTAGCACTTAACTGAACCCTGCTCTATCGAATCAGCAGACGTCCCGCCCCTTGTCAGTTGCATAATCCTATTCTCGAGTTGGCGTAGGGCGGTTGATGCTGCTTTTAACGCGACTATCACCGCCAAAGTCAGCCAATCCAAATCCAACCTGTCGGTCCTTGCAACTTACAACCATCACAGCGCCTCGTCTCTCTTGCTGCCCACCAACCATGATGAATGGGAAACCGAAATGTTGAGCCGCCGACCTACGTGTTCAGTATCCGTACTGTTGCTCGTGATTCTCACTTGAAAGAGAGGAGAAGCCTATGGTCACAATCACAGCTTGGGTCTAGGCGTTGGCTTGGAATTGTTCTGTCACGACACCATCAACCATTAACCAGGTAGACAAAAGATTTGTGCAGTCAGTGCAAACAGCCTAACTCGACCGACCTGGATTCTCTTGGTCACCAGCATGGCGCCCACCCACCAACGAACCAACTACCTATTGGCGGCTGCTGTGCGGCAGCAAAAGTCCAGCGGAGATAGAGTGACATTGTGTAGCATAATACTGCACAGCTGTCACTGGGCGTTCGGCTGGCAGAACCGCACAGTCACATCTTCACATCGCAAGCTTGCCTACAACATAGACCATGGGGCAGGCTGAACTCGCTGCGGAGTGAAGCAGAGGGCTCAGACCCAGAGAAGAGTAACATATCAATGACAACCACCGCCATACATCCCCTCACGGGCTTATTGCATGGTCTCTCGTGTCGTTGCCTCACTCTTTGGCCTGATCCTGCATCTCTGTACGCGCTTGTTATTGCGGTGTTGTCGCTGCTCTACCTATCGTCCTGTGTCTCTTTACATCTGATGGTGTCTGGTACGGGCTCATGTACACGCGCCCGGCCCCAGTCTGGTGGTATCCCGTACGGTACATACATACATAGATTACCTTACCTATCCACACCTCCAGCTGGGGTCGTCGTCTTCTTCATCACACACCCCTCTACCCCTTCACTCTCACAGCCCATCATAGCCCCACATTGTTCCAACTGCTTCACACCCCCTTCACTTCTTCAAGCGCCCACCTCTTCCCAATTTCATCCTCTGGCGCCAAATACTTGACGCAATCCTTTCCTTATAATCGTCTGTTGCTGCCTTTACTGCCCTTTCACCTTCGCTTCTTCTCCAGTCAGTCTGTTCACTCGCTGCTTCTATCTGCCTGTACTCCTAGTTCCCACTATTTGGGATTGGCTTCTGGTTCATATAATCAACACAGCCCAGGCTCTTGAGCTCGCCCATAATCACCAATCTTGGTCTCGACAACCAACGTCAACTCAGCAATCATCATGCCTACCACCAAGCCTAAGTTGGGGAAGCTTACCACTCCCGTCACCGCTACCTTTCCTTCCGAGATCACATCGGCAACGCCTATCTCGGCCGTCTCCTTCACATTCAAACCTGATCCGGACTTTCTCAAGACACCTATTAGCCCACCCATGGCTTATACCGACTTCCTCACCAAGGCTATGGCTCTCAACTCTCCAGCTACGAGCTCAGGGCAGACCACCCCAGACTCGTTCCCAGATACCGCGACTAGCGAGGAAACCGACACTTCTAGCAAGAGTGAAGAAGGCACCCCTCCGTCTTCAGCTTCAAGCACTACTTCAAATAAATTTGCCCGTCCAACCCCCCCAGCGACGGCTCCTATGGTCCCTCCCAGTCCCTTCACCTGCTCCACGCCTATGTCTGCTCCTCCCACTGGCCCTGCCTGTTTCCCCAGCCTGAAGGTGCCTCCCAGTCCCAGCATCTCTAATATCGACTCGCCGTTGAGCGCAAGCACCGCTCGATCACCCTTCAGTGCCAGACCGGTCCATTCAGTGTTCGACTGGGATGCTGCTCTCAAGGCACGCCTACTAGAGAAGAAGCAGAAGACCTCACGGACAAGCGTGCGACACATTCGAGAGGTGGTGACAAGAACTGTCACATACACACCTAGAATGGCACCAGCACCAAAGGGAAAGAGACGAAAGGTGGAATAAATCCACTGAGCTAATCAATACCTACCCAATCCATCATGTTCACACTCAAAACGATCATCTGCTCGATCATCTGCTCGATCAAACCATACCTTTAACGATCCTTCGAATACTTCATGAGCTTTCTTTTGTTTAGACATGCATTGTAACCAAGAATATACCGAAAAACGACCAGGATGCACACCTCAAGGCGAAATATGGAGCAGGCCTTCGACACATGGCGGCGGCCAAAACTGCCGTCTGTTCAACCCTCAAGCATTCTCTTTTTGATACTTTTTTCTTTCTTTTTGATACGCCTTGGAAGGAGTTGAATCAGGAATAGGGAGACCGGGAGGTGCGATTGGAGGAGTTTGATGGCGTTCTACAAATTTCATTACCCACTTGGATGTGCTATTCCCCGGGGGCATAGCATGGACCAAGAATTACGATACCAGCACATTTGGAAAGGCTCGGGGAAGAAGGGGTTCGGATCAGCGACTAGGATGTAGTCGATAGCGACCCTCAAACAGGGTTATATAGGGAAGAGGAGGGGACCGTCAGAAGAAGACTCGAACAACGCTTTGAGCTTCGGTGACCCTGTGTATCAGGGGTAGAATCAGCTCTTAGCAACGCCGTTACTCAAAAATTCATAAAGCCATGGGCTGTTTCAATACCAATTTTGTCGCGTGCTCTGATTTGTGCTGTGTTGGTGACTGAAACCGACTGACTGGTAAGAATCTGATCATATGAGCCAAGACTACCAGCCTGGACTGAGTCACCATTTTTACAGGTTTAGTTCTGTTTATCTGATTGGGAATATTGTCACGCTATCGATCGTTTATTTGTTTATTTATTTGTTTGTTTGCTCGTTTATAATGGATCTGCCATGGTCTCAACAACAGGCCGCACAACGGGTATATCCTCGATGCGTATCTTGGTCGCACTGGTGGCCTACAGAACGGCCGCCAGCTCGAAGCTTCTCTGAACCCCACCTGCTCCTAATCCACCTTATTTTCCTTCTATTCCCAAGTGATGGGACATACCCTTGTTCCTTGTCGGGAGACTTAGCATGGGTTGCAAAGCACCTGTGCGAGATCATCTCAGCAAGCCTCAGGCTTCATTCGAACGACGGATTACATGGGGGTGAACGATGAAGAACATATTGTTCACCTGTTTCGATTCTACATCTCGGTCCGCGTTGTGATGAGATGCAAAGACGTGAATGAAGTATCCATGTATATATATGCACTCCACTAGGCCAACTCTTGGGCCAAAGGAACGGGACGTATGCAGAGATAGACAGATATAGTCAAGGCCAGAAAGCGGCATCCAAGAGAGCCATGGTAAGCATTGGCAGTTCTTGTTCCCACAATGCTGTGCTTCTCTTATTCTCCTTCGGGCCACTGCATCTTCACTGCGCTGAGCTGCGGATTTAGTACGAAGGAACCATTTGAACTTAGGAATCCTTTCAATGCTGCTCGCCCACTGTCGGCACCCCCTCCCATCACCCAGGGGCGATGGACCACTAGAAAGACTTAGACTTAAAAGCGGCGTGGTCTCTAGCTTCTGGCGACCCAGCACCCTGGTCCAAGCGGAACCAGGGAGCCCCATAAACTGGGCTTGTAAGCGCCGGGAAATGGTCTTGGAGTGTGCTATTGGCTAAGGCGGGAGAGCCCATCACCCACCATGGAAGACGAGTTGACATGATTGGATCCGTGCTAAGCGCCCAGGGCTGTGGGTCGACGATTTCGATTTGTATTTGTGAGGATTGGGGTTCTTGATGGATTGAGGACATAGCGACATGCAGAAGCGTTGTTTTCTGTCTATTTGTATGGCCCGTAATGGTAATGCCTGCGCTATATGTCGTGTCGTGTTGGCTTGCTTCAGGTGCGCCTGTGTCTGCGTCTCCCCTCTCGCACTCGTTTCTACTCTTGTCGATTTGTTTCGCGCATGCTACCCAGCTACTGCGAGGGATACAATGCGCTAGCTGACCAGTTGGCGTGTTTCCAATGGGCCCCCAGTGGTATTGTCACCAGGGACGTGACGATGTGAATCTTTGGCCCGCACCAGCCGGTGACAATATGCTGAACCTCACTGCCTGTGAACTCAAGCTTAGGCTCTTGTTACCTACCCAAACTCAAGCTCATTCCATCACCTCTCGTTATCCAGGTGATCAAGGTCCTGGGACACCATCAGTCAATCACCATGGCACAAGTCCGACAGGTGAGAAGAACACCGATCTACCACGCGTAATCTCCAGTTTACCTGAAGCCCAGCACATCATGGCATCGTGTTCAGCAAGCAGAAGATTCCGAGAGGCTACAGAACCTGGATTGAGAGCCCTCGTAGCCTATTGACTTGTTCAACCCACCGAATGCGCCAGTGACGAGATGCGCATGTGGTGATGTGACAACCCTGCGCATCACACCGTTTCGTCTGTAGTCCTGTTATTGGTACCATGCACGTGAGATGCCCAGCCCACGCCTCCCGCCTATCTGAAACCAAGGAGGGATCCTCAGCCCTGAGTCTGAGATTAGAAACGAGTTTGAGACCGCTGTGACCCGGCTGCTGGGTGGCACAAGGCCCCAGACCATGTTTCGAATGCTTTGCCAATTGCTAATTTTGGCTCAAAAGTCAGATCGTCGGATCTTGCTCCTAGCTAAAACCTCTCTCATTCACACACATGGAGATAATTATAGTCTTCCCAGAACGAGACGATCACCGCTCCATGGTTTGCCTGGGTCGAATGCAGTGTGAAATTGCAGGGCAGTTGGGAACTTGAGTTGCGTCTTTTAGCTCGATGGAAATCAGAATGCCCTGTCCCGGTCTTGCCTTGAAACGTGATTCAATAGCACGAAGTTCATTCTGGTCTTGGACATGGAATCAATCCACTTCCCTCACTTCCTTCGCTAAGGCGTTGCAGAGCGCAACCTTTACCCCTGCCCCAGTAAGCACATGGATCCATAATCGTTGAGTGTCACTCAGCCGGTCGTTGGCGCTCTTGACTTCCGAGAACATAACCTCTCCTTTTGGCCTTCCAGGCACCTCTTTTGAATCTTCTGGTGGATTATTAGTGCGCCACAGAATTAGATCCGGGATACCGCCGCCTCGTTGTCTGTACTCTTGAGCCATCACCTTGCATACTGCTGCAAGAGCACTGCCCTCAAAGCACCCAGCAAGCTCTACGAGGTCGTCAATCTCGAAATCCCAGTTAAGGCCCACCACACTTGTTCTCCTCTCATGTTCTGATTCCCAGACTTTTCGGATAAGTCGTGGAGCCTCTCCATTGGCAATCTCGACCAGTCTGTGATTGATTTCTGATGCTCGGGACGGGTAGAAAGCATCAGTGTGAAGATCCAGCGGGCATGTTTGATATGCTGTCTGAAACACATTTGGAATATACAAAAAGAGAATATCGTAAAAGAGGTACGCGAAAAGGGTGCGAACAATCCCACCCTCAGCATGATACCCCTTCCAACCCTCTGATCGATATTGACTCAGGCACATTGCTTCAACGCTGCACTCGTCTTGGGTGTCTAGCTCATCGAGCCATATTGTTTTGGTTGAAACTTGGCGACCCCCCTTCGCTATGATATCCTTCTTGAGTTGAATTCCTTTAATGGTGTGCTCGATAGGCTTTTGCAGATCAACATGGCCAAAATCGTGTTGTAAGCGACGTGGTATACGTAGTTTCTTTTCTAGCTTGACAAGGCGTTTTTGCAAGTCGTAGTGGAACATCAGATGGCTGTCTGGGTCTTGTAGGCCGGCCTCACAAGTAGCAACTGCGATTTTCTTCCAATGTTTCTTCTGCTGTTCGGGGTCTGTGAATTTGGGATTCGGGTCCAAAGCTGGCATGTAATGCTCCTCCAGAAGAGCCTTTCGTTGATACCAACCACCTCGTCTTGCTGGGTGAAATAGCCGTTGATCGAGAAGCTCGGTGAGCAGCTCATGCTCTCTGAGATGTTGTTTGAGCTTTCCAAAAACTGGTGCTGCTTTATGGACAATTCTTGTATACGAATGGCCTGGTGTGAAACGTCTCAAGTAAGCACCCTCTCCCATTTCATAGACGGTGTGCTCCTTATGCTGCTCTTCTTCAACCAATATCTTCCATCGCGGGTAAACTTTCTCAAAAATGTTGACCATCAGTCTGAGGCCCTCTTCTCCGGGTGGGCTACTGAACTCCCATGCATCGACTTCAGCCTCCAGGCGGATGGCAGTTTCATACTCTAGTAGGTGCAGGCGCGACATAAATATAGTCGAAGTTCGGCACACAATGTATTCGGGGAAATGCCGTCTTGCAATTTTGGCAAGAATGATTGTTGTTAGTGATTTCTCTGTCCACTCCGTCGATCGATAGAACACAAGATGCACCCGCTCAAAAAGCTTGAAGGCTGATAGCGACAATCGAATGCAAGGTCCAAGTATTGCGATAATTTTTGTAATGAAATGCTGCTCTCGATTCGAATCTTTTCGCCGAAGCTTTGCGATGTCTTTTCCCTTAGCTTTTGCATCCAAGTTTTCCTGGTCTTCGGCAACAGAACCACGGCTGTTGTGTCTGCTGAGGCCTACTGACATCAATCCAGACTGTTGCTTTCTCATCTTTACTAGTGAATGAATGAGTTCTGACTTATTGCGCCCTTGGACTTTTGCTTCCTTAGCAAGCTCTTTCAACTCGTCTAGGCTCAGTAGCGACGCAGCCTCTTCTACAGAATCGATGTGATCTTCTGACCTATCGGCAAAGCTGAACGCCTCATCCAATCTCGACTCTTCAAGTTCAATATCATGAACTGGGCTCTGTATTGGGGTGGTTGTGCTAGCTGGCAGAATACGAGACGATTGCAGGGTAGCTATCGCTGCCTCAAGGTCCGAGATGTCGTTATGATATCCAAGACGACTATGGCGATGCCACGATGCAGTTTTCCTCAGAAAGAGCCTGACGTAGCTTTGAAATGTAAGCGAGTATCAGATTTGTGGTAATGCGTATAGGGCATACAGATACTGAGCCTCGTAATTTAGTTCTCTCCACTGGGTAAAAACCTCGGTCTCTTTCTCATCAAATAAATGCGATTCTTCTTCTAGGACGGTATCAAGCGCAAGATTGAAGGCATCCACATAAATAGAGCTTCGTCCCTTAACCCAAAGTGGCTGAGGTGTTTCTGTGGTGTCATCCTCATCATGCGCCGAAGCCTGTGATGACTTCATCGTCTCATACTGCTCGACTGCTTCTTGGCCTTCAGCAGTGGGCGGTAACGCGTTCTCAATGTCCGTAATTCGAGGGTGTTCCTCAATTTGGTATTTTGTTTTCGCTGCTCCATTACCAGGTAAATCCTCCCTCGGTGGGATATCCTGGGGGTGATCAGGGCATAGGCCACCCTCAGAGTCTGGTGATCCCTGCCGTTTGGCTCGCTTGGAAGGCCTCTCCGTTTCTGGTGAGTCACCGCAAACTTGCTCTCGAAGTTGGTTCAGCGGCTTGGGAAGTCTCGTCACAAATGCATCCATCATTCAACTTGTGCCATGTCAGATGAAATTAGAGCGGCAAGGGTAGAAGTTGAAAACACTGTTAACGAACAGATGTTGAACGATGTGGACGCGATGACAAAGATAAGGTACGCTAGCTGAACACGAAAGCACATGACCTCGCGGGGTGTCTGCATTATCGGCTCTTATCTTGATCCGAAAATCAGCCGGCGCGACAGGATCACTTACCAGCAGCTTCGTTAAGTTAGTACCTGTCAACAACGCCATTCTCGTAAATACTTTAGTACTTTACATCGCCTGATCTCATCGACAATGGCCGACGAAACCCCCAGAACAGACTCAGCAGCAGGTGCACCGCAAATTGTAGCGCCAGCTGAATCTTCTGTCAATGGGCATAACTCAGACCAGAAGGATGTGACAATGTCTGATGCGCCAGTCGATCACCCTGCAGTATGTTCTCTCTCCTCTATATGTTCCTAGAGACATCTTGTCTGAATTCCGCTTATTACCTGGACTTGCCTCTCTTCGATTGTCGATTTCTTGTATCAGGCGCCATTTGGAGGACAGACTAGTAACATCTTGACAGTCATCTCCTGCTCCAGCTACTCATGCGCCTAGCCCCATACCTGCACGAACAGGAACTCCGGCGCAAGGTTCCAGAGCTGCTTCTGCACATCCAGATTCTGGTTTTAGCCTACCAGCCGAAGCTGCCCCTCATGGCGATTCAACACGACGATATCTCAACACAAAAGTTACCGGAGTATTGTTAGAGGGCGTGAAGCAATTGGCAAAAGACAAGTAGTTCTCACATTTCTTGTATTTTCTGGATGGCGACTGACAATATCATAGGCCGAGTGATCCTCTCAGGGTACTAGGAGAGTATCTCATCAAAAAGTCCAAGGAACTGGAAGGCACTGGCTAGACCCACGATATCACAAAATTTCCCACGATAGCACTCAATTGGTATGGTAGCGGAAGGCATAGATGGCGTTCAGGTTCAATAATTTTATCGTCACTGGGTTGAGAATGTCCCATTGCATACGCGTACTTTCAGCGGTCGAAGAGCTTTCTATTTGAGCGGTCGACGCCGCTGTTGATCCTCCCAGAGGGGGCGAGCAGAAAGTATCATGGCTCTAAATGCAATTTTTTCCATGTTTGTCCCCCAACTCCGTGACCCGGGAAACCATCACCACCAACCAATGCGGCCATTCTTCGTCATGTCTTCGTTTAAGCGACGATGGTGCTGGCAGTAGCGGACTCGTACTTCCAGGTGGGAGGGAGAACACCGACGGTCTTGTAGTAACGAGCCAGGCGGTGAATTCGGGACTCAATGAGAATGAGGCGGAACTTGGAGTCCTTGTCCTTGCGGTTACGCTCAAGGTGCTTTCGGACGGCGACAGCCTTTCAAATTGTTAGCCTGGAATTGTGCGACGGGGAAGATTTTGACATGACTGGCGTACCTTCTTGATAAGCATGTACAGATCCTCGGGGAGCTCGGGAGCGAGGCCTGTAAAAATCTCTCTGTCAGTCTCAACCGTACAGAGGCATTAAGGAGATGGTATTTCTCCGTTGTAGATGTATTTGTTTCCGTCGCCACATCCTTTATTCGTTCAGGGAACCGTACCGTTGGACTTGAGAATTCGGAGAATTCGGTTACCTGCAATTGTTTGTTAGTTGCTTTGGCCTTCAGATTTCATGCGCGCAATCCTTACCGGTGACAAGCTTGACCTGGGCGATACCGTGGCTGTCGCGAAGGACAACACCAATCTGAGAGGGAGTGGCACCCTTACGGGCGAGCTTGGCGATCTGCTCAACAACCTGCTCGGGGGTGGTCTTCAACCACGCAGGAGCGGAGCGAGAGTAGGGGAGAGCGGAGGCAGAAATGCCCTTTCCCTTGCTGTGAAGTCGGCCCATCTTGTCGGTTTGGCGTGGTGATGCTGGATGATCAGTGTTGGAGTTGTGGAGTTGCAAAATGATCTTTTGAGAGAAATGCCTTTTGTGTGCACTAGTTAGGGTAGCGATGCCAAATCTATTGGCCCGATAAGCCACTATCGGACAATCGATAAGAGATCACGTGAATGGTCCAAGCTCTGATGTCGCGTTTCTTTACTTTTCTTGCTGTCGCGCGATTCGAGTTTTTCTTTTCTTGACATGAAGCAAAGCTCTTTGAGCTCTGCGACACAGCTTTCAATCATATGGTAAGTCACAATGCTCCCTATACCGTCTCAGTCGACCTCGACATGATGATAAATCACTTTTTACTTATTTCTGGTACCTCTTATGTTAGAGCCCTCGGGCTCAATGAATGGACAGGACTTCTGATCTGGTCATTTTTTGCAATTCAACTCGCTTTCCTCTATTAGTCTTGACACTAACGAGTACAGATCCTTTGAGCTACTTGCTCTTACTTGAAGTTGCGTTAGATTATTAGAATTTTTGCAAATAGTTAGTATCTTGAAATATATGCTGTTCTTGATTCCACCAATGTGTATCAATCTATCAACATGTGCCTGGCCTCTCAGTGAACCTTGCATTCCCGCAATGGCGAATTCACATCAATACGATTGTAGTACTTGACCTGCACTTAAGTGCCTTGTCGTATATACGGAGGTCGGTAGTATTGAATTCGATGATATCAAATGCTTTGCCATGCCCTGTGTTTTACATTTTCAATTGATTCCCTACCCGTACACCGATAGAAGACTCCTGCCTCCTCAAACCATATACCCAAGGCAGCAAACATATTGTCTCCTTGGTCGCCTTGAATGGAAACGATATTACCTCTTACCACGCTCCAACGTCGAAGTTTTCCTACATGTCGGGTTAGTCGCTATAACCAAAACCTAGGAGTTCAAGCTTACCTCTGGGAAATATGTTGTCACGACAGTTCTGTCAGCAAACTTACGTCCTGCAAGAGCTTGCAGAGCCTTTGCTGTATCTTCGGCTCTCTCGTACTTGACAAAGATCTTGCCTACACCAGCGGATTGTCGACTGCCACCAGTGGGTCGAGGAACCTTGACATCAATGATTTTACCAAACTTGGAGCATTCTTCCCTAACGTCTTCGCAAATTTCTGACAGGCTTTGTTAGTGGAAGTTCGTTAAAATGGCCAAGATCACGCACCTTCGTAGTCGTCATTGTCCAAGAGCTCTTCAGCAGTCACCATGTTTAGAAGCTGAAGCACTCGACTGCTTTCAACCTCATTGGCAGTCTGAGAAGCAAGACCACTGATAGCGGTAATACCCACGTCGAAGTTGGCGACTTGTGTAGGACCGATACTGGCCTTGCTAACCTTGAGCTTCTTGCCTCCAATTTCCATCCCGTTGAGTGTGTCAAGCGCAGTTGGATTGGAGGCGGCAGGGTCTTGATACTCTGCAAATGCGATACCCTGGCAATGTTAGAGAGAAAATCTTGTTTTCGCATTACAGGTTGAACTCACTCTGGACTCTTCTGTCCCTCTGTCCTTGACAAGAGCAAAAGCCTTAGGTTTGCCAAAGCTAGCCAGTAGTTCAATAATCTGCTCTTCTGTCAAGAAGGTGGGGATATTGGTGATGCTGAGCTTGTTGACAGTGTCCGGAACGATGTTCGAGACGACCTCGGAATCATAGGAGACTTCCTCAGTTACTGCAGGCACTACGTAGTCACGGGGCCGGCGAATTTCAAGGCCACGGTGACCTCCATCCGTACCATTCGATGCATCGCCGGCTTCCATAGATATTCCATCCATTGCCAGAGCAACTGTTGCCTCAGGTGCGTCTTTGAACTCGATGACGGCAAATGACCGGTCGTTGGAGAACTGGCACAGGACGCAAGGGTCTGTGGTGTCGATGACATTCAATCCATTCAGCTGGAGGTTGAAGAAAGACATGAGGGCCTCTTCGCTTGTGCCTGAGGGGATTCTTGAAACCAACAGTCGCTTTGACTGGCGAGAGTTATTGGCTTTCAGTCCAGCGCTCGTGACTTGCCCACCAGGCTGGTTCATAAACGCCTGTAGTTTGCTCGGGTCCATTGGCTGTTGCCGAGGAGCTCCAGGAAGAGGGAACATGCCCGACAGCTTGGCCTGTTCAGCTGTAACATTTTCGTAGCCTGGAGGCTTGATATCCCACTGAGTCAGGCGACGCTTGCGGTCAAGAACAGGCACGATGTTGGTAAGATCTGGAGTTGGCTCTCGCTTCTTAGGTGGTGGGCTCGCGCTACGGCGCTCCTGCTGTGCTGGAAATCTGTCCTCACGTCGATCTCTTCCACCGCGACGACGGTCTTCGTAGGGATCTCGGTCTCGCCTGTTAGGCCGCTCATCGTCGTCGCGTCTGGCATCTCGACGGGATGATCCTCGATCACGATCCCACTCACGATCTCCACCTCGTCTTTCGCGGCCCGAGTATCTGTCTTCACGCTCACGATCGCGGTGGTTTCGGCTGGATGAGTAGGCATCGACATCGCCTTCACCTCGTCGATGGCTTCGGTGCTCGGGTGAGCGAGATCGTCTGCGGTCGCGGTCACGGTGTCGGTCTCGACGATCGTCTCTATCACCTCTTTCTCCTCTAGGCTAAGCGGAGTCAGCTTGAATCACATTCGAGAGGATGATATGGATTACTTACAGGATAATCTCGTCCCCTGCGCCCATCTATGTGGTAAGGATTTAGCGACGCGACGCGATCAAGTATCACATTGCAGCAGGACTTACCTCGGGAAGAATAGCTGTCACCGTTCATAGTTTTAGCAGCGACAAGCGACTCCAGAGCTTGGATGTATTCTCTGAAATTGATGAGTGCGAATGGTTGGAAGGCGGATTCGTTGATTCAAGCCGCAACGAGGTTCTAATTTCAAAGAGCTGGCAGGCATCGCGCGAGGCTGGAGCTTTTTTTGCCAGGAGGCGCTAACGTTTGTAAGTTTGGGCCTAGCGCCACTTTTTAGGACTTGGCCTCTCGGTTAGGCTTGGGCAGCTTGCAAAAAACTCGAGCAGTTAGGTAGGTAGTTAAACAGTGTCGAGAATAAAGAAAACTCATGATATATATTATTCGTACTTAAAAACTACCATGACTGGTCCTAAATATACCCCCAAGTAAAACCTATGAAAGTCAGAATTATTGTATTAGCAATACGACAGGCGGCTGTTCACAAACTTCTAAATGTTGAATTTTGGCTCATGTAGTCAGGTAGCCAAGGGGGGGAAAGAAAACTCAGGCTTGATCGTAAATGACAAAAAGACTTAGGTAACTTAGCATAAGTTTAGGACACTTTTGCTGAGTTTATTCTGGCACCCTACATCAAAGTCCGATGTTTTCTTGCTCCCCGAGGGTAGGCTTCAAGCTTCAGGGGCTACAGCATTCACCATAGCGCAATTACATCATCAGCCTTGACTCGCTACTGGAGATCAACGAGAGGCAGTGTTAGTTTCAAGCTGCCAATTCGTTCTTTCATCGTACCTTCCTTGCTGATATTTCTTCTAAGAAGAGTAGTCGGGCTGAATCCTTTTCTCAATGTCTGTCGTGGGTAAGACGGATTGGCATAAATTGCCTGTTACTCTAGGGGAGCTTTGTATCAACACCACCTTGAGATGTGGGCAGTCTTTCAGATGGCAAAAGATTAACCATGAATGGTAAGTTACTGTCCAAACTGTAGCATGTCAATTATGCTAACACTTTCAGGACCTGCACTTTGCATGGTCGACTTCTTCACTTGAAGCAAGACTCAACTCATCTACACTATCGGGTCACCTTTCCAGCACCCAAACCTTTGACGCGAGCACCTAACAACACAGAGGCTCTCCTAAGGCACTATTTCAACCTGGATACTAGTCTCGAACCGCTGTACAAACAATGGTCAGATGCTGATGCCAACTTTAGAAAGAGGGCTCCCCAATTTAAAGGGGTTCGAATTCTCGGTCAAGATGCCTGGGAGACATTGATATGTTTTATCTGTAGCAGCAACAACAATATCACGCGGATATCACAAATGGTGAGTGTGGATCGTTTGCCAAGGTCTGAATCATAATTGATCGGGTGTTCAAGGTGCACAAGCTGTGTCAGAATTACGGTCCCCTCATTGCATACATGGGTGACGAGCCATTCCATGACTTCCCATCACCTCAAGACCTTACAGGAGATGATGTTGAATCGCATCTTCGAGAATTAGGCTTCGGATATAGGGCAAAGTACATTGCTGAAACAGCACGGATGGTTGCCAACGAGAAGCCTGAAACCTGGTTGGAAAGCCTCCGAAATCCTGACCTACCAGGCTTCAACACAACGCCTGTACCGAAGGAGAAGCATGCGAGCTACAAGGAGGCACTTGCGCAACTACTCACTCTGAAAGGGGTTGGTCCCAAAGTTGCCGACTGTGTATGCCTCATGGGCCTCGGCTGGGGAGAGGCAGTTCCTGTCGACACCCATGTTTGGCAGATCGCTCAGCGAGACTACAAGTTTGGAAAATCAAAGGCCAAGACAATGAACAAGGCCACTTATGAGGCTGTTGGGGACCACTTCCGAAGCCTCTGGGGGCCGTTTGCCGGCTGGGCTCACTCAGTTCTCTTTACCGCTGATTTGAGAGAGTTTGCAGCTCAGGCTGCAAAAGAAGAGGACGAGCCTACTGTGATCAAACTGACGGCGCATGGTTCCACAGAACATACCAGATCAAAAACAAAGAAGACTATCACGATTACCGACAGTGATACATTGGTAAAGGAAGAAACACCAGTCATTGAACCCACGGATGAGCAAGGGTTGGAGGAGGTCAAACAGATGAGAAGGTCAAAACGGGTGCGCACTTCGTAAGAGCATCTTTCAACGTCTACTTAGGATGAGTCCAAGAAGTAGATCTAATGGCTGCTATGTCGAAGTTAGGCAATCTATAAATATGGAATACTTGGTTTGCAAAGGTGGGTTGGTGAGTGCGAGTCTTAGATGATAAGATTTAAGCCTATAGACGCACCACAAGCAGATAATCATATTTCCCCTGGATCTGAGGACCTTTGGCACTATGCCATGGCTACGTTATGTATTTCCTGCTTGAGGTACAGAATACAGGATGATGTATGGTATGATTCGATTCGCCGTTTTTCGACATGCGACCTCAGATACATGCAAGTTCAAGGGGCACTTCGTCATAATATTTCAATTCTAAAGCTCCTTTTTTTCCAAGTTCCCTATTCGTTATGTGTAATACTTCTTACCAGAGGTCAAAGCATTGTTGACAATTTGCCTCTTCCAGGAAGCGGGCACATGCATGAATCTAAGCAGGCGGCTAAAACTCGGGTGGAGAAGATGGCCCCCCAACCTAGGAAAGCTTCGTCAAGGAGTGTAATTTTGCGACCACCCATCATCTACTTTCAACTCTCCATGCGCGACGATAACGCCTCGAGCGCCCCTTGTCCTCTCGAACCGGGATGAAGCTGCGAATGTCATAATTCAAAATGTCTGACGCAGATTTCGAGACCATCAAGAAGCTCCAGCAGGAGCGAAATGCCGCCTCTGCTGGTAACAAGGGTTCGCGAACCTTTGATGCAGCAAATCAGCGAGTCGACGATACTAAGCAAAAGTTGACCGACAGCGCCGACAGTACCCTCTACGATCATGATGGAGCTGATAGATTTTCCGGGTATCACACCTCGCTACCGATGGGTGACGACGATGAAGACATGGGCGATGGTGACGACACGCGACGGCTAGTTGGCCAGTATACCGCATCGCGAGAGATGATTGATGAGTTCGCTCGTGGAGGTGGCGTGGAGGAAGATGATATTCTTGCTGGGAAAGGCGAGAAGAGTGGTCGAATTGTCGATCGTGAGACAGATTATCAAAAGCGCCGATTCAATCGCGCCCTCACTCCCACACGCGCCGATCCCTTTGCTGAGAATCGCCAGGCTGGCGCTTCTGAGAATGGCGCCAGTTACCGCGAGATTATGGAGGCTCGTGAACTAGAAAGGGAGGAGCAGCGCGTTTTGCAAGCCATCAAAGCGAAGCAGGAGGGCAAGACTGGTGATGACGTCGATGCACAGCCCATGCTAACCGATGGTAATGTCGAGGTTGAAGATGCCGATGCTTCTTCGACTGCTCGGAAGCGCAAGAAGCGATGGGATGTGTCGTCGGCACCCGCCGAGGATGATACGGCTGAGGCCGGCGAGGCAGCGAAGCCCAAGCGTTCACGATGGGATCAAGCTCCTGCGCCTGGAGCAGAGGTTTCTAAGAAGCGTTCGCGATGGGATCAGGCCCCTTCTGCTACGCCCATGGGCAACACAGGGCTAGCTACTCCTGCGCACCCATCATCCGCACCTACTCTGCCAACAACTTTTGGTACCGATATTGGTCGAAACATGCCCCTCAGCGACGAGGAACTCGACCTCCTCCTTCCTGGCGAAAGCGAGGGTTACAAGATCCTTGAGCCTCCCCCTGGCTACGAACCTGTCCGCGCTCCAGCACACAAGCTTATGGCCACCCCTGCTCCCCAATCAGGCTTCATGATGCAAGATCCTGAACAAGTACGCTTCAGTGGAAAGCCAATGCCTGCTGAGATTCCCGGTGTAGGCGACCTACAGTTCTTTAAGGCCGAAGACATGGCGTATTTCGGAAAGCTCACCGATGGTTCTGACGAGAATGCTCTAACGGTTGAAGAGCTGAAGGAGAGGAAGATCATGAGGCTTCTGCTGAAGATCAAGAACGGTACTCCCCCCATGAGGAAGACTGCTCTTCGCCAAATTACCGATAATGCCAGGCAATTCGGAGCTGGTCCTCTGTTTGACCAAATCCTGCCCCTACTTATGGAGAAGACGTTGGAAGACCAAGAGCGCCATTTGCTGGTAAAAGTTATTGACCGAATTCTCTACAAGCTCGACGACCTTGTGCGCCCCTATGTCCACAAGATCCTGGTCGTTATCGAGCCATTGCTCATCGACCAAGATTACTACGCGAGAGTGGAGGGACGCGAAATCATTTCTAACCTGAGCAAGGCTGCTGGTCTTGCTACCATGATTAGCACTATGCGACCCGATATTGACCACGTCGACGAATACGTCCGGAACACAACAGCACGAGCTTTTGCAGTGGTAGCGTCAGCCCTTGGCATCCCTGCTTTGCTACCCTTCCTCAGGGCTGTCTGTAGAAGCAAGAAGTCATGGCAAGCTCGCCACACGGGTGTGAAGATTGTTCAGCAAATCCCTATTCTAATGGGCTGTGCCGTGCTTCCTCACCTCAAGGGTCTTGTTGAGTGTATTGGGCCTAACCTCAACGACGAACAGACAAAGGTTAGGACAGTCACCAGTCTGGCCATTGCCGCATTGGCTGAGGCCTCTAACCCCTATGGTATCGAGAGCTTCGATGACATCCTTAACCCTCTATGGACGGGCGCTCGCAAGCAGCGGGGCAAAGGTCTTGCTGGTTTTCTCAAGGCTGTTGGATACATCATCCCCCTGATGGACGAGGAGTATGCCAACTATTATACCAGCCAAATTATGGAGATCCTGCTTCGCGAATTCTCGTCACCCGACGAAGAAATGAAGAAGGTGGTTCTCAAGGTTGTCTCTCAGTGCGCAGGGACGGATGGTGTCACTGCAGGATACCTTAAGGAACACGTTTTGGACGAGTTTTTCAAGAGCTTCTGGGTACGAAGAATGGCCTTGGATAAGCGAAACTATCGACAGGTGGTGGAAACAACTGTCGACATCGGCCAAAAGGTTGGAGTCAGCGAAATCGTGGAGAGGATCGTCAACAATCTCAAGGACGAGAGCGAACCATACCGAAAAATGACTGTCGAAACGGTGGAGAAGATCGTTGCAAGCTTGGGTGCAGCAGATATCGGCGAGCGCCTAGAAGAGCGGCTTGTGGACGGTATCCTTCACGCGTTTCAGGAGCAGAGCGTCGAAGATATTATCATGCTGAACGGCTTTGGTTCTGTTGTCAATGCCCTAGGAACCCGCTGCAAGCCCTACATCCCTCAAATCGTCAGTACTATTCTATGGCGACTCAACAACAAATCGGCGACGGTTCGACAACAGGCCGCAGATTTGATCTCTCGAATTGCTATGGTTATGAAGCAGTGTGGCGAGGACGCCCTCATGGGTAAACTGGGTGTTGTGCTCTACGAGTATCTGGGCGAAGAATATCCCGAAGTTCTCGGATCTATCTTGGGTGCTTTGCGGTCTATTGTCACAGTTGTTGGTATTGCACAGATGCAACCACCCATCAAGGAGCTGCTACCACGACTGACCCCTATCCTGCGAAACCGTCACGAAAAGGTTCAGGAGAATACGATTGACCTTGTTGGCCGTATTGCGGATCGGGGACCTGAGAGTGTCAATGCCCGAGAATGGATGCGAATCTGCTTTGAACTGCTCGATATGCTCAAGGCTCACAAGAAGGGAATTCGACGAGCTGCGAACAATACGTTTGGTTTCATTGCCAAAGCTATTGGTCCTCAGGATGTGTTGGCAACTCTGTTGAACAACCTTCGCGTGCAGGAGCGCCAGTCCCGTGTAAACACGGCTGTTGCCATTGGTATCGTGGCCGAAACTTGTGCTCCCTTTACAGTTCTTCCGGCTCTCATGAACGAGTATCGTGTACCAGAGCTCAACGTGCAGAATGGTGTCCTCAAGTCACTTTCCTTCCTTTTCGAGTATATTGGCGAGATGGCAAAGGATTACGTTTACGCAGTGACTCCCTTACTGGAAGACGCTCTCATCGACCGTGATCAGGTCCACCGTCAAACGGCAGCTTCCGTCGTCAAGCATATTGCTTTGGGCGTGGTTGGTCTTGGGTGTGAGGACGCTATGGTGCATCTCCTCAACCTTCTGTACCCAAATCTCTTCGAGACTAGCCCACACGTCATCGATCGTATCGTGGAGGCCATTGAGGCCATTCGAATGGCAGTCGGGCCAGGCCTGGTGCTCAACTACGTCTGGGCAGGCCTGTTCCACCCAGCAAGAAAGGTCAGAACCCCATACTGGCGCTTGTACAACGATGCTTACGTTCAGGGGGCTGACGCGATGGTGCCATATTACCCAAATCTTGATGAAGACAAGATGGATAGACCGGAGCTGGCGATTGTGCTGTAACAATTTGTATAGGTAGGGAAGATTGACCTCACGAGGATACTTCCATTGGTGATAGCAGGGGTTTATTCCAAGGACTTTTCTTTTCTTGCGTTAGGTATGGATGAATCTAGGGAGGTTAGTAATTCGAAATGCTGTACGCTGAAAGGGGGACATTGCATGCGTCAGGGCGTTCTGATAGATAATAAAAACGGCTTCAATGTTTCGAATGTCTAGTTGCATTGCACCGAGTGCTAATCTCCTATCTCATAACCATGTGAACGATGTCGGCTTGCTTCCCAACCCCTTTTACCTAACAATGATCTGAGTGTTGACCGCTCTCCGGGTCAATGAACGGATGATTTGCCAAGACTGGTGTAGCACTCATTTCAATTCTCATCTCACCTTACCTCACAGCGGAGCCTCCGACTTCGCATGTTCGTTACAGCTACAGGGATGAAGCAGAGTTTTGGGTCCTTCAACCGAGCTGGTGGTTTCACCTCATTAAGAAGAACGACGATCATCCGAAGGCAGCAGTTTAGCTAGGCATTAGCTTGGCGGCGATTTATTGACAGTCTTCTCACCAAGAGGATTCTCCATAAGTCAGCAGCCGAAAGTAACATTGGCGAATTGAGCATGTTACCTTTCAGGTCGCCATGAATCTCAGCCGGACGCTTGGGCCTGAAAGGTCCCCAAAGCCATGGAAGGCTGGCTTAGATTGGCTATCCATACCAACGACTTTGTCTCTACCTACACCGTAGGTGTGATGACTTCAACAGAGCAGACAGATCAGGATGTATCATCGAACTGATAGGCCATCATGCACGGATGGAACCATTTGCATTTCTTCGGTAGTCAACGCCCGGGCCCGCGGCTCATCCACACTTCAAGAGGAACTTTTGAGCAAGACTCCGGCAGATGCAGAGTTCAATCCATAGGGATCTCCCCATCTTCCTGTCGTCTTCGCCTTGAGTCAGGGGAGAGGGGAAGGAGAAGGGGCCCGTGCCGCCCAACCTTTGGATCGTGTCACGGAATTGTTCCCTCGACATTTTCTTGGTTCTGAATACAAGCCAAAGGCGGTTGGGTATTGAGTCGACAATACCAGCAAGGAACGCGCGCAAGTTTGATGTGGAGGGGGGAGGCACGGTGGGATCGACACTCACTAAGTATCCCCTTGTGCCTCTGAGTGGCTATCTGCGGAGGGGGGATCTGGCTGAATACCACGTACGTCTCTCTTTTTCCATACAGAGTAAAGGCGTGTCTATCATCTTTGTTATTGCACGTGGGCATTTGTTGGATCTTCTGGTGGAGACACTTGGTGTGCATGCTCAGCACAAGGCTCAAGGTGGAATTCTCATCATGATGTTTTGTTGTGCTTTATGTGCCGTGCTCCGCGTGTAAGCATTGCCTTTAGCATGCACCCTGATGCATGGCTGGGTCGTCAGAAGTGACAAGCTAACAAGATGCAAATGTATCTTGTTTCTGAAAGGGAGAGGAACAAGGGATATGGGTATTGTCTCAAGCTCTTGGTTCTCGCGCTTGGGAGCTGTTGTCCAAAAGATGGAACGGGATCCATTCACAGACCAACTTCTTCACCTCCCCTGGCAGACCGGCTGGCATCATGCACGATGTTATCGTTGCTGATGTCTGCCAAGGTCATCGAAGTGGTCTTGCAGCCTTTGGAAGCCAGCCACTGGTCCTCAGACACTTGCCAAGGGTGATGAGGATGTAAGAACAACACTTCTGTCCACGATGATTTCATAGCATTCATGAATGAGGCTATCTCTTGTAAACCAATCCAACCCACATCTTAGCTGCTGTGAGAAAGAGGGTTCTGGGGATAATTGGGTCAGATTCAGGATTTGTATCGCCCTAACACTATGTAGGAGGACAGAACGAGTAGTAGTCGAGGTCTCGAGGCCAGCTGAACTAAGTTGGAAGGCTGTCTGTCTCTCACCTACAATCGAGCTTAGACGCCGTTAACTTTTTTTTGTTTTGAGGCTTGCTTTTGTTGAATATTGGCTATGATCCAGCACCTTAATCCGCGCTTGTAGCTCTCAAGTGGTTGTGATGTGCGGCCGCAATGGTTGCTTACTTGATGGTTAGATCAAAGCCGTACAGATCTCCTCGAGGAGGCTGAGGTTTGGACGAGCCAGGGCGCAGAATGAACGGATTTGGCACAATATCTTACCCTTTGACAGTCTCTCACTGCGATTGTCAAAGCCAAGGCAGAACTGGACAGTACTGGATTTACACGTCACATCGGTTGGGCGCTGGGACGGGAGAGCAACCAACTGAAAGGCCCTAAACCCCGCCCAATTGCTTATCCTTGAAGAAGAGCAGCATATGTGGAGATGAATCTGCTAAGAGGTGGGTAGTGATTAATTTAGTCAGCGAGGAAGAGCTAGGGGAGGGTCAGGTGACAGAGGATATGATAGGTACAGTACCTACCTAGGTAGGTATCAGAAGGGAGTTGGAGATAACCAGAGAAAGCGGGGTGGAACAGAGAGGATCTTCCAGGGGTTGTTAGAGGCTCACAAATTCTTCTCACACATATGTATGAGAGATTTTTGATTGATTAGAATGATTACTAGGCTGAGAAGAGGTGTATAGTCAATTGAGCACCTGAATGTCTGATATGGTGATTGGAACAACATGTCCTCTTCTCTGTTCGAGTCCAGTCATACGTATAGAGTAAGCAAGTGAAAAATGAGGATGGCATTCTCAGCAATGCCATCAGGGGAATGGGGAGGAGACTGAATTGCGGTGCGCTGGATTGAGAATAGCCTATATCTTAGAGGACGCCAGAATCCACCGTCAGAGGAACCGAATGGTAGAAATGGCAGCGCAAGGACACCATCTCAAATGCAAGCTACGGAAGAAGTCAATGCTGGGGAAAAAAGCAAAGCTTGAGCCCCAGTGAAAGCCAAGGAGCAGTCTCAGCAGGTAGAACAGTTGCCTGGCATTTAACTACGAGGGAGGCTACCTAGTCTAGGAGATAGGGAGGAACTGGCAGACTTTCTTTTGTTTCGTTTCGTGTCTCACTCAACCTTGTTGCTCCTTGTGTCTCTCGCAAGGCTTGCTAGCTTGAAAAGTCGAGAAACCTAGCGCCCCAAGCCCCAAGGTATCGTTAGCGTTTGGAGGGAATGCGGGTATGTAGACATCCGTCGATAGAGCGGTTGGTGTTGTTTCCACTTTGGGCGACCAAGGCTGAGAGTGTATACAGTATCACAGTGTGCATGGGAAAACAAGCCTGGGTTTTCTCCCCTTTCGACTCGTGAGTGTACCTGGAGTGGCAAAACGAGGAGGAAGGGTCTGCCATTGACAGATGGGCTGGCTGGCATGGTTCAAGAAGGGGGAAGCTTGGTTGGCTGCTCTGTGCTGGAGTTGACTTGAGTTAGCATCCCCATAGGCCTCGTTCTCGTTGTGTGCCCACTTACACGACGACAGCACGTTACTAGCTACTATGTATGTACTCGACAAGGCTGTGAGAGTGTGCTCTGGGTGATGGGTGGTTCACACTACATTGAGCACACACTGACTGTACTGTGGTATTGCCGGAACCAGCCCTACAGGTGACCACGGAAAGTGATAATGTACTGGCATCGCATCACAGAGTGGTATATACCACAGAGAATAGTAGAGTAGAGTGTTGGTTGCGGATGTGTGATGACACCAGTGATACGAAAAAGAGACTCCTAGCTAGGTGTGGTAAATTGGCTGCAACAACTTATCCCTATCAGATGAGACCGGCTAGACCGAGCATCATTCAGCGATGAATAAATTCACCAACTGGGACGTTATGGATTAAGAGGCTGCCTACAGTAGTGGTGATGTTTGTCCCTGGACCGGCTTCTGATATTCTCTGTCCTCCCTCGGCTGTATGTACTTACATACATATTAAGGTATTCTCTGGCAGACAGACTGAGTGACTGACTGGTTACTGTACCCTAGCTCAAAAGCATAGCGTAGGCTGACTAGCCCGGCTTCAGTCAAAACCCACCCATGTCCCGGCATCAATCAGAGACTAAACGCGAATAAATTAATCCCGTCAGTGACCCCCTGTCATGTATCTTGGACAAGTCCTCTACACTCACGCCCTGAGGACGCCCCCACCTTGACTCTCTCCACACGCAAAAAGTCAAAAAGGGAAGAGAGTGGGTGCGCAGCGCTTGTCCCAGTTCGGCCATCTGCGGCAGCGAATGAACAAGCTCATCGATGACGTTTAGCGGGTGGAGCTCGGCCGGGTCTTTGCAGCAACGGAGCCGGGGACCCTTACGGCAGCCTCTGACGTCACGGTCCCATCACACTTCAACGTTTTTTTTTTTGTCTTTTTTTCCCCCCTCTCACAGACAGAGGCTTCAATGCCTAGCACAACATACCTTTAGTAGGAGTCTGAATTGTGGGCTTACACGAATCGCAGATACGGACGTGAACCGCTAGATGCCTAACTACTACTTTTATTCAGTGTTCCTGCACGTAAGGAGTAGCTACAACTGTCAAACTTGACTCGATCCCAACAGCCAGAAAGAAACTAATAGGTAACTATTCTGTACCTACCACCGCCTTCTTGCGCAGGACAATACATACATATCAGATGGTTCAATATGGTATAGCTCCATATTCCGCAAAACAATTGGGCATTTATTTCATCATGCAGAAACAAGCCCAATCCAACCTTTCATTCTCCCTCCTCGCACGTAACTAGGTATGTACATGTAGATGTAGATGCAAGATAGGAACGAGCAGGCAGGGAGACGAGAAAACAAGTTTCTCGTCCAAGTCGCTCAATCTATCCAATCTCTCCACGCCCCATTAATCTTCCCACAGTGACCGGCCGACCCTCTCTTTTCTCAGCTGTGTCTGTATACATGCCCAATTCCGTACGACGTAACCGATGGATTGATTCATTGATTGATTTGATCTGGTTACATACATGCTCCGTACTCCGTACTCCGTACATAGCTTATCCCACTCCACGTCACGACCGAGGAAACACACCGAGGAGAAATGCCACCACCCCTGCTACGGCTATTGCTATTGCTATTGCCATTGCTACCTATTGCCATTGCTACCTATTGCCAATGCTGCCGCTTCTGACTTTTCCCTGACTCTCTCCAATCCATTCGTCCACGACCCCAAGCTGAATTGGTACTAGCCCCCTAATAAGAAGGACCCTGAAGATCCCATCATCGGCGCTTCTTTACGCAGAGGCCAGAGTCCGTGGCATAATCTCAAACGCAGACGACGAGTCTAATTTCTCCGTCGACGTCATTGCTCGGCCCACGACCGCCGTCATTATCGCTGTTTCGGAATCCTTCTAATCAATCCGAGGTCCCTTTTCCTTCCTCTTACGAATGGTGCATAATGAGTACACAGAGCATGTGGCATCGTAAGCATTAAAAGTAAGTAAGTACTGTATCCGTACGACGACATTACGCACTCTGTGTGAGGCAAAAGCTGGGGTCGAAAGGAGGCGATGGATAAGCAGGGCAGCCACTTGTCAACGGCTTCAGGGTTGAGCTTTGGTGCTAAAATGGGGCGATAAAACGACTTTGGCGGTACTGTACTCTAATTCCCCAAGTATGTACGGAGTATGCATGCTAAACTTTGTACATACCTATTTCTGCTATTCTAAGTTGAGAAACATGACACCAAGAATTCGCCCCAAGGGTCCTTGATCACGGTCATGCACTCACTCTCTCAACCGGTTCCCCCCCAAAGAAGGTCGTTTGCACCGCCTCGGGGCGCCGTTGTGAACTGTGTCTCACAAATCGGCCAGTCCCATCCCATGCCGTGGAGGTGAATCCGTCATTGCGGCGCCGGATCTCTTGGGTTCCGCGACCCGGGCGCTCACATCTCAGCCGTGAGAGACGTCATATGTCATATCACCAAAGCCGCGACATGGCACAGCAGCTATTCCAGCAAGCACAGCGCACACCATCCCCGGGTCTATAGCACAAGAACCCCTTCGTCTATTTCGGCTGCCAGCCTCCACTGTCGCAGCGGACACTGCAGTTGAACTATGTGTATGTATGTACATACATCCTTTGGTCATGTCGCGCGCGTCCCTTTTGCCACAGAGGCAGGGCATGGATGATTGAGTTGATGGATACGTTATCAACGAACTGATCGAGTAATCCGAACCAGCGCCCCGCAAGTGGAGGAAGAGTCTCCCACATGCATCGTCTGTAACAGGGCGCCTCGGTCGGCTAATAGCAGTTCCATAACACTACATATCAGTCTCGCCCATGTGTAGTAGTTGTCGAGCCGTTGGCAGCGCAGAACATAGTACTGTAGTTATACGCGCCATCAGCGACCGACCATCTTCAATTGCAATGCAACTTTCTTTGGTGACATGACATGAGCTGAAACCGAGAATCTCTCTTCCGCTGTCCAGCATCCCAGTTTTGTGGCTTGCAATCAGATCGATTTTCAACCAACAGACAGGGTGTAACGCGTTTAACGAATGGGGAGCCAGCTGTAAAAGACAAGGGGGCAGTTGGGAATGAGAATGATGGGAATGCGGAATCTGAGCGCAAGGGGAAAAAAGGGAATTATCGACCCTGACAAATGGGAGATGGATAATTCCCTTGTTGACTCCACTGAACCCCATGAGCAGTTAAGCTAGGTCTGCCAAGAGATGAATGATAATAGGGAGTCTCTGAACTGACTGACTGACCGACCGACCGATGATAGAGCAAAAACAGACATAGAAACAGTTTCGACTTAATCAATCAATTGCAACTTTGCTTCCGCAACGTCGTATCTAGAACCATTCATTTCAATGTTCATCTCTAGTGAAAACCTTCTAGTTGACTTCTAACAACCCTTCTTTAGCAGCATCAGTTCAGCACCCAATAACACCATCCAGGACCTCTCGCAAGCTAAACTGAATGCATGCTAAGGGCCATCATCTCATTTACTCACCCCCGGATGTCAAAACCGAGGCTCAACCCTTTGGACCATATCCTCCGGGGCGGGGGCTCTACAGTACACGGTGACCCCCCCCCCCCCCCCCCCTCCCCCCTAAGTGCGGATACGTCGTCCCCCTTGCTCAAACTCCAAAAGGACCCTCAGTTCTCAAGCCAACCCAATCTCAATCTCACCTTTCAAAGTTAATCTACAAACACCTTCGTCGACTCCCTCCCTCCCTCCCTTTCCACCCCCACAAAGCTTGTCCAGTCTTGACAATGCCATCGGCTCAATGACGATGCCTCTTGCGGTAGGGATGTACACAACTTGAAACGCCGGTGTCTGCTATTCTCAGTCATGATCGACAGGCAATAACAGACAAGGTGCAAGGATGGTCAACCAATTGTTCCTGTCCTTCCTCTCCTGTCTGTCTGCTCCTGTTCATGTTTATGTTCCTGTTGCTGCAAATTCATTTGCGTGCGTCCCAGTTCCAACAATCGCTGGTACATAGTAGGAATAGGGGCTGCATTACGCGTCTGTGTCTCAAAGTGCTCGTCCTCAATTCATCCACCTCCGCTATCATCGATTGAACAAGTGGCTCGGACGTCGAATTTGACATCTGTCAGCTGTCTCTCTCTCTCTCTCTATCTCTCTACATTAGCTCCCTCGGCAATACCGCCTCGCCTCGTTTGACGCAGGCCAGGGTCTTCTCTTGCGGCTATCTCGTTACCTGACTGCGAGATGGAGGGGAGTGGGAGACCGTCCAGCCGCCTTCGCGCTTATTGCTGAGCCCCTTTACGATCCTTGTTTGACACAGCACGACTGGTTTTCTTTTGGGCTGCTATCTACTGGCGAGTCATGTTTTGTCCCAAGACTGTGCATTGCCACCAGAATATGGCATTCTCACGGATTCCCATCACGATGGAAATGTTCACTTCTTTTCCCTGTGTCCGTGAAACAAATTTTTGTATCTTATGAGATTCATCTCATCAGTTGACACAGCGCTCAAAAACATCACTCCATATGTCACCATACCAACTTAACTAAGTTTTCATCTCAAGTGTAATTCTTATAAGACTGCTTGCACTCTATAATCTGCACCTCTTCTCATCAACTTCATCGTCGTGCCCACATCTTGCCAACACCATGGTCTGTCTTTTGTCCTGTAAAGCCCCTGGCCCATTATCGACAGACCAGGCTGTGCATGGTCTGGACTGGGTATATCGTGACCGTAAAATATGAAACTAGTAGTACAAGCCTCCCCTAAAAAGCTCGTCTGTGTCCATCTCAGTAATGTCCTGGGCTCACAGTGCCTTATTGTCGAGAGAATAACAGGTGCCCTAAATGGGCATGAACGATCGCTTCGAAGTATAGCTCAAGGCCTCGTGTGCCTAAACATGAATAACGACAGGACCGTAGCTTGGTCAAC